CCAGAGGTCAAATTTTTTTTTTTCAAATTAAAGTACATTACATTAGCTTTAATTTAAGATATATATAAAAGTGTCAGACCTTCCGGAACATTTTCAAAAGTTAAGTTGAAAAAGTTAATTTTTTGTGAAAAAGTTGTCATTTTAAATCCCCCCCTGTGGGCAGGTTAAGTGTCAGATTTACAAAAAAAATATACCAAATGATAGGTAAAGACATCAAGCATCTATATAAAAAAAAGTTATATTGATATGTTCATTTTTGAAAAAGTTATGGCATTATTAAGTTAAAAATATAAAAAAAAATTATTTTAAAAAAATCGTAATTTTTTATTAACTTTGATGTCAACTTTCACAACGAAGACAAGTCCAGAGGTCAAATTTTTTTTTTTCAAATTAAAGTATATTACATTAGCTTTAATTTAAGATATATATAAAAGTGTCAGACCTTCCGGAACATTTTCAAAAGTTAAGTTGAAAAAGTTAATTTTTTGTGAAAAAGTTGTCATTTTAAATCCCCCCCTGTGGGCAGATAAAGTGTCAGATTTACAAAAAAAATATACCAAATGATAAGTAAAGACATCAAGCATCTATATAAAAAAAAATTATATTGATATGTTCATTTTTGAAAAAGTTAGAGCATTATTAAGTTAAAAATATAAAAAAAAATTATTTTACAAAAATCGTAATTTTTTATTAACTTTGATGTCAACTTTCACCACGAAGACAAGTCCAGAGGTCAAATTTTTTTTTTTCAAATTAAAGTATATTACATTAGCTTTAATTTAAGATATATATAAAAGTGTCAGACCTTCCGGAACATTTTCAAAAGTTAAGTTGAAAAAGTTAATTTTTTGTGAAAAAGTTGTCATTTTAAATCCCCCCCTGTGGGCAGGTTAAGTGTCAGATTTACAAAAAAAATATACCAAATGATAGGTAAAGACATCAAGCATCTATATAAAAAAAAATTATATTGATATGTTCATTTTTGAAAAAGTTACGGCAGTTTTTAGTAAAAAAAATTGAAAAAATTTCGAAAATTAGCGATTTTTAAATTTGTAATTTTTTTGGAGGTTTCCCCCATTTACGGGGAACGAGGGAAAATTTTTCAATTTTGAAGGGTAATGTCTTCGACTAGATACGATTTGTGATCTTTTGACGTATCGTTGAAAGAAATCCGTTCGGTGAGAGCTGAGAAAAAGTAGTAACAGACACAAAAAAAAAAACACATCATAGTAAAACCAATACCTTTTCAGCTTCGCATCGAAGCTAAAAAGACTCAAAAATACTAATACCTATGTACAGATTGCATATGGATAGTAAGTATTATCCTGAACCTTTGAAATTTGATCCAGATAGATTCTCTGACGAAGAAAAAGCAGGGCGAACTAGTGGTACTTATCTACCTTTTGGAGATGGACCTCGTTTTTGTATTTTCAGTTTTATTTGCTTCGTGCGAAGCTGAGAAGGTATTAATTTTACTATGATGTATTTTTTTTTTGTGTCTGTGAATGCTCAATCTCAGCTCAGCATATTTTGATGAACAATATGTCAAAAGATCATAAATCGTATATAGTCGAAGACATTACCTTCTAAAATTGAAAAAATTCCCTCGTTTCCCGTAAACGGGGGAAATCCCTCAAAAAATTACAAATTTAAAAATCGCTAATTATCGACATTTTTTCAATTTTTTTTACTTAAAATTGCCATAACTTTTTTAAAAATGACCCATGAATATAATTTTATTTTGTAGATACTTTAGGTATTTACCTATTATTTTATATATTTTTGTGAACATTTGACCCTTTACAAGCCCACATTAACAGTTTCAAAATGGTAACTTTTTCACAAAAAATTAACTTTTTTAACCTAACTTTTGAAAATGTTCCGGAAGAACTTACACTTTTATATATACCTTAAATTAAAGCTAATATAATGTACTTTATTATGAGAAAAAATACGTTAAAAATGCAAAAAAATATTGAGCTTTTCTAATAAATTTACTATAAATAGTAATTATAAAATTTCCTGACTGCATATTAATCTTAACAACACAATTTGATTATTTCTCATACATTTTTTTATTTAATGATGTTAATTTCAAATTTTTCAAAATAAGCTAAAAGTTATTAAAATAAATAAATTTTTTTTTATTATAAACTTTTACAAAAATTAACTTTTGAGGATTAACTAAATAGGTTAAATATGTCATTTTCCTTATTTTTAACATATTAATAATCAAAATCAGTATTAATTTAAAACAATTTTTTTGTGTTCTTAATTATTTTTTTTTATATGTAAATACTTATTTTTTAATAATAAGTAATAATATTAAAACTGAGAAGTGATAGAAAAAGTTTAATTGCATATTTGAAAACATCGAGAAAAGTTGATTTAGAAAAGTACATTTTTGTTTCTGATGAAAGTTCCTTGTCTAGTGTATAAAACTTATAACTTTAATATAAGTAACTATGCAACGTCCATACTGTGTCGTGGCCTCACTGTGCTACCGATTTTTATATTTATAGTCATTGATTTTATTTACTAAGTATATATTTTGTTTTTATAATGTTATTAACTATTATTTTATCTATATATAGTTTTATATGATTAAAATTAAATTCTGCCCCATTTACCATCTAAACCACTAGGAATTATATATAACTCAACGTTATCATTTTTGAAAATATCTCTTTTTAACTTGTCTTCCTCGAATAAAAAAATTGTATGTATACTTATATTTACAATTTTATTTTTTATGGAAAGTTTCTTTTTGGTATTTGAATTAACAATATTTATATTAATGATTGTTGTTTAATATTATATGACATTCTAAGTTATTAGATTAATTAGTATACACGTGAATAGCAAATTAATCCAAATTCAAAAACTACGAAATGAGACCAGGGTAAAAGTTTAGGATTAATATAAACTCTTAACCCTTAAACAGTCGTGGGGGTCTAGCATATCCCGACATAAATAAAAACGGATGTATTATATTGCATAAAAGGTGTACATAGATATAAATTTTGGTTTTTATAGTAATATTGAATCGATTTTCATAAATAAATACCTTCGAAAAAAACATTTATGACTTAAAATATTCATCAAAATTGAAATGGGTCATATTTACCCCCACACGACTTGTAACGTTATAATTTTTTTTTGGATTAGTATATTTTTTAAAATATCGTTTTATCGTAAATGCAATGTTATAATCGACATAATATTGTAGAATTGAAATTAAGTGGATCTGCCACCGTCTGTGCAATTAAGTTTTAAAAATAAATAATCCATTAAGAATTTCCACCACTCCATTTTACGGAATAAATAAGAACAAAACATGTAATAAATACATCACGTATATTAAACAATATGCAAAGATTATTGGGAGAAAAATTAATGTTCAACAGATTCATAATAATTGTATATACTCGTATCATAATAGTTAAATCTATTGTAATATTAATAATAAAAAAACTCAATTCAGAAAAATGATTATATAAATGTAAATACACATAAAACTAGTAAATATAAGCCGTGTTTAAGCTCAAAGAAATACAAGAAAAATTAATTAAATTATATTTTGTAATAGTAAAAGCTTTTGTTTACTGTCTTAAAAATAACATTTTGCGTTAAAATAATTTTTTTACAAACCAAAATTATTTAACGAAATTTTGAAAATTAATTTTTTTTTGTAATATAATTTTTAGTAATGCACATAATTTTGTAATTTATTTATTTTCTAATTTTTATTATTGAATTTTTATCCATATTTATATATCATATGGTAATAAATCATATCTTTGAATAAAAAAAAAATGAACTTTTTTATACATATTTTATACTTTTTTAGAAATGGGGTCTAATAGTAGCGTGGGGGTCTATCCCCAGGCTACTATTAACGTTAAAAATATGCACACACCTGCTAAAGGGTTAATCAAAGAGGTAAAAAAGTAGATTTTTTGACGTATTTTTCAAATACTATTTTGAAGCACATATATTTTATCGAATAAATTTGATATACATGAATAAAGCATATATTTTTGTTGTTCACTAAGGAATTAAATATATTTACAAAATGGTATTTTTTACATACTATTTTCTTCTTCATCTTCTTTTTGATCGCCTCATCGTAATTACTTGGGATTGTCCGACCCCATCCTTATCCTTAACTTGACACAATCTCTACCATCCTCTACGCTCACCTCAGCCGTTCTCATATCGCATTAATAAAAATTTGTACTGGCTGAGGTTTTGTTCATATTATTATAATGAAATTTATAAACGTATATAACCCATAGCCTTTGTAGCTACTACTTTTATCGTAATTTCAAAAATTATTTTAATTAATTTTGAAAATATTTGTAGAAAAATAATTTCAACTAGATTTAATTAGTGAGAAAGAGGTATCGGAGGCTGTAGTATCAATGAAAAAGAATAAAGCAATGAGACCAGAAGAAGTGCCAATAGAAGTATGGAAAATATTAGGCGATGTTGGTTAAAGAAACTTTTAAATAAAATCTTATTATAAGGGAAAATTCCAAATAAATGAAGGAATAGTATTGTGGTGCCGATATTTTAAGGTAAAGGTGACACACAGGAGTGTGGAAATTATAGAGACATAAAGCTTATGAATCATAGTATGAAAATTTGGGAAAAGGTAATAGATAAGAGAATAAGAAATGAGACATCGGTATCTAAAAACCAGTTGGGATTTATGCCTTGTAAGTTAACAATGGATCCATTATTTTATGTGAGGCAATTAATAGAAATGTTTAAGTAAAAGAAGAAAAAGCTGTGTATGCTATTTATAGATTTGGAAAAATCGTATGATAGAGCACCGAGAGAGGTTTTAAAATGGACATTAATGAGGAAAGATGTCCCGAAAGGTACATTAATATAATAGGAGATATGTATGAAGGCATTTGTACAAGGGTAAAAAGCGTAGGTGGAGTTACAGAAGCTTTTAGGGTAAAATTAGGAGTGCACCAAGGTTCTGCTCTAAGCCTATCTATAGTAATGGATGAAATTACTAGAGAAATACAAGGAAAGGTGCCGTGGTGCATATTTTTCGTCAACGATTTAGTGTTGATAGGAGAAACAGGGATGAAATAATCAAAGGCTAGAGGTTTGGAGAACAGATTTTGAAGGAATGGGGATTAAGAATAACTAAAGTAAGTCACAGTATACAGAATATTATTTTGACAAAGAAGAATACGAGCTAGGTGAAATAAAGTGATCAGTGTCAATAGCGATGACGTAATAGGTGGAAATTTTTTAGTATTTAAGATCAGTTGGCCAAATAAACGGTAGTATTGACAAGGATGTAAAATACAGGTTTAAGTTTGGATGGGTGAAGTGGAGAGACGTGATGATGTGCTATGCGATAAAATAATTAAAATTCAAAATGAATGGAGTAATAGTATTGTGGTGCCGATATTTAATGGTATAGGTGACACACAGGAGTGTGGAAATTATAAAGCATAAAACTTATAACATAGTGTCATTATTTTTTATTGCATCCTGAAGTGAAATTTGACTTTTTGGGATATTATAAATAGGCTGGATTATACCAAGGCAGTTTTTGACTTGGGGGATACTACATGAGGCACTAACTGCTAAATTGAAACTATAGACAGCATAGTGTGAGTATAGAGTTAAATTATATTTTTCTTTAATATAGGATTAAACTCTGTGAAATTCACTACTAATATTGCTAGCTCCATCATAACCTTGTCCAAATAAATACGTACAATCTATTCCAGAATATTCAAGGAAATTCAAAATAGCATTTGATAAACCTTTCTCTGTTACATCTTCAACAGGGATAAAGCATGAAAAAACTTCATATATTTTATAATTACCAACCATATAATCTAAATACCGTACACAGATTGAAAGTTGTTCTATGCCGGCTATATCTGCAGTTTCATCTGATGTTATAGAAAAAGCTCGAGATTTATTGACACGTTCAATGATCTGTTTTTAAATTAAATTATGAAATATGATAATAAATTCGTTTTGAACACGGTTACTAAAGTACATTGCGTTTTTTGCTGAATTATGTAAAAAAATATTGAACTATTCATCAGGCCACTTTAAGAAAAATATCTAGTTAAATGCTAAATCTAAATTTTCTAAAAGTATCTAAAGTCGTTTCAGTTAAGCACCCCCTACACAATCAATAATATTGAACAATAATTGATATTGCGTAATATTATTGAAAGTTTAGTATAGATATTGAAGGATTTTAAACACGCATTAAATATACGCCTATGATGATAGGTTACATAGGTAATGAATATTTTTCAATTGAATATTGAACAATAATATTGAGAGGTTTAGGGCAAATAAATATTGCACAAAATATTGACACAATTTAATTGATTCAGTATTATTGATCGTGCAGGGGCCGCTTTATTCTTTATATTCGTACTTTTCATTATATATTTCATCAATTTATATAGGTTTATCATATACTAGTACATAAACAGTGTAAAAAAGTAAAGGAACAGGTCAATTTTTACAAACATTGAGAACAATAGAAACCCGTTTCCTTACTTACTGAACAGCCTACTAAAAAATTATATAAATTAATGTAATTTTTTTTTATTGAGGGTTTTTTGAAAAATTATCAGACAATACATTTATTGGTATCTTGGTGATTTTTTACATAATACTATTATTATTTAAATAAAATATTTTTTGTCCTCTTTTAAATTAAAAAAAATATTTATGTTTTATTTTTACAATCATAGAAAAATTACATTATAGTAATAATATGAAAAAGATTGTTAAAATTACTTAAAAGAAAAAAATAATTTCAAAATTGAATACACTTAACACGTCGATAAAAAAGTATGCCAATAACTCAACTCTAAATCTGAACCTATATAATACAATACACATATAACTAATTTTATACATGTATCCTTGAAACCCTGAATATTAAAAATTAAATATTTCATCAAAATTATAGACATTTTTCTCGGGACCCTTTAATTATATTTTTATTTTAACTAATCTTAAGGTTATCTTATTAAAACAAATTCAAGTACAATAAACAATACTTACTGCAAATAATATTATTTTGAAACCACTTAAAATTTTTTATAAATAGTACTACCAAGATGTGTTTCAAAAAAAAAAAAATTATTTTGAATTTTAAATGTTTTATTCTAATTACAATTACGTTTTCTAAAATGCACTAATGTGTTTTAATGTACATTAAAATTTTAATTGTAAAATAACAAAAAGGTAGCATAATGGTTTCGTTTCGTTAGATATATGTAAATTTTATTTTTATTGGAGCACTGATAGAAAACTCTTATAAGGTATTTTAAAATAAAATTTGAACCCCAACATAGCATGTTTTTTAACTATGATAGCCATTTGTCCGGAAGTTAAAGTTCCTTATTGAATTCTGCCTTGTGGGCAGGTAAAGGGTCAGATATTCAAAAATATTATATATAATAAAAAGGAATTACTTAAGGTTTCAATATAAAAAAAGTTATGTATATTCGTTCCTTTTTCAAAAAGTCAAAACAGTTTTAAGAAAAAAAAGTAAACATAAACAGATTTAAAAAATCGTAATATTTTGAGGGATTTGCGCTATTTATAGGGAACGAGAGAAATTTTTTCAATTTTCAAAGCTAATGTCTTAAATAGATACGATTTGTGATATTTCGATGTATCATTGAAAGAAATCGGTCCAGTAATAGCTGAAAAAAAGTGGCAACAGACACATAAATACTTCGTAGTAACATTAATATCTTCTCAGCTTAGCTTCGAAACTAAATACTTCGTTGAACTACATTATAGTATAGTCTTACGGGATACTATTTAATAATAACTAAATATAACTTAAAGCCTATTAATTGTCTGTATATTTTAAAATAGAAATTTTTAGAGAGATATTAATTGATTATTAAAAAAATAAGTACAGTTGCTCTATTTATTGAGTTATATTTGAGTAAACGAAGATTATTAGAGTCTAATGTAATACTAAATTTATAAAGTTATAATTAAAGTCTTGTTTAAGAGCATAAGTTATTGCAGATAATTTTTTATGTATTATATACATAGATGTTTTTGTCTTATACTATTATTAACATGCATATATTTACGAAAACTGCCGTTAGAAATCTACATTACATGGAGGGGATTTGGCGGTAATCCAACGTACAACATTATTTTGTTATGTAGTTGTACTCAAACATTTGAGTGAGAAAACTTATAGTATATTAGCAAATTATCGAATTTTTAAAATAGTTACTTATAATTGTGAACGAATCTATAACGATGCCGCGTGATTTCAGTTTTTATTCGTTTGATGTTACATTAACATTAGTTATTTTAGTGGTATTATTATTGTATTACTTAAGTACTTTGACTTTTAGTTATTGGCATAAAAAGAATGTGCCGCATTTTCGTCCTGTTCCTTTATTTGGGAATTTCATAGAATTTGCTCTTGGATTAAAAATGACTGTTGAAATACTTGAAAAAAATTATAGACATCCCAGTGATAAAAAATACGTTGGTATATATCAGATGATGACACCAGTTTTGCTTATACGAGATCCTGAGCTTATAAATAATATTTTAGTAAAGGATTTTTCACATTTTACTGACCGAGGGATGCCTCTTGGCATCGGTGAGCCACTTTTTAATCATTTACTTTTTATGAAAGGACAACAATGGAAAATAATGAGAGCTAAAATTTCTCCAATATTTACTTCTCGTTTACTGAAAAATATGTATGAACAAATAGGAAAATGCAGTAGTAAATTACTTGATAAAATTGAAAATAACTTAAAAAATGATGATGTTATTGAAGTTCGCAATATGATGGGAAACTACTCAACAGATGTTATTGGAACATGTGCTTTTGGATTGGAACTCAATTCAATTACTGATGATGATTCACCTTTCCGAAAAGCCGGCAAAGAAATGTTAACTCCAACATTGTCGACTATGACCAGTCAATTAGTACAATTGATATATCCTCCTTTAAAAAAAATTTTAAACGTTAAAGACATGCCAGAAAATGCAGGTAAATTTTTCACATCTGCGTTCAATGATACTCTGAAATATAGAAAAGAAAATAGTATTTTGAGAAACGATCTTGTCCAATGTTTAATAGAAGCTAACACAGATCTTGTTTTAAAGAAAACTGAACCCTTAGGTAATTTAATTTTAATTTATGACTTAATAATTTTAGTTAATAGTCTGATATAATTTTGTGTTATATAATTTACATTGAAATTCAGTATTGATATTTTTATAATTGAAACATTTTTATAATAGTACACAAACATTCCTCAACATTATTGTTATTTTAGAAGAAATTTAGTGGTTAATGATAAATCAGTTACTCTGTATATATTTTAATGTTTTTCAAATATAATGAATAAGTTAAATTGGGTAAAATAGGCTCCATGTAATTAATTTTTAAAATTATGTGTTGATGGATTTAATCAAAAAGTATTATTTTCATACGTAAGTAATTTGCAAAATGTTTTTTGTTTTAAGGATAATTTTTTTAATGGTAATAGGATCAAACAAGAAAATATTTTATATCAACATATAAATTGTGAAAAAAAATTAGTATATTTTTTTTAAATACAACTGATCGTAATACCAGATATAATAATATTTTGATTGCAAAGCAACAAAAAATGAATGTAACAAGCGCTCTTTTATTATATATCATTTAAAATATAACCTTGCTAAAATATATTTTACTTTAATGTTATAATAACCTTGAGCTCTTCTTATTAAAAGTAATATACAACAATGTTAGATTTGTATTATTAAGTATATGACTTAATGCATTCCTACAGTCCAAGACTCTTTTAAATAATTTGTATATTTTTAGTTTTAGTGTGAAGCAGACAAAGTTTGATTTAAGTCAGTCGTATTTTTTTATTTTTTGTGTTACTTTATGTTACTTTATGTTACTTCAAATGGTTACAAAACATACAGAATTAAAGCTATTAATACCATAAATTTGAAAAATTATCTTCATTCCCGTCAATTAAGATAAATGTCCTAAAAAATTACACTAGTCATAAAACTGTTAATATTGATATTTTTAGTTTTCATTTTATATTGAATATTTTTTTTTAATGGACGTATTTTTACAAAGTTTATAATTTTTTTGAAAATGTAACAATTAATTAAGATTTCGGAAGGTTTTATATTTGGATAATATTTAAAAATATTAACTTTCTTCAAACCAACATTGAATGTGTTTGATTATATATATATATACAACTAAACAACATATATATGTACAACTAAAATACTAATTACTATGTAATATGTTTATTTTAAAGTTGAATTTAAGTACTCAGACATAGTTGCAAATGCGATTGTAATGTTTCTTGCTGGTTTTGAAACCGTTTCTTCCACCATGAGCTTTTGTTTATATGAACTTGCATTAAACAAACCTATCCAAGACAAAGTTCGGAAAGAAATGACTCAATTAATGGCTAAGCACAATGGAGAAATTAATTCTGAATTTTTGTCTGACTTGCATTATTTAGAGAAGGTTTTAGCTGGTAAGATTTAAATACAATTTTATACTTGCTTAATTGATAAACAAAATTCTAAAACTGGTATAATATGATAAAATTATTTGATTTTACAAGAAACACTTAGAATGTATCCACCATTACCTTTTCTCGATAGAAAAGTGACGAAGGATTATCAAATAGATGATGAGTTTATATTACGGAAAGGCATGAAAACCATGATATCCATATATAGTTTGCATATGGACTCCAAATTCTATCCTGATCCTAAGAAATTTGATCCCAATAGATTTACTGCTGAAGAAAAAGGTAGAAGACCAAATGGAACGTATTTGCCATTTGGAGACGGCCCACGTCATTGTATTGGTATGAGTAAGATTGATTATAAATTCAAACAAAATATAATTTAAGCATTCAATATTATTTCAGGTAAGCGTTTTGCTGAAATGGAAATGAAATTGGCATTGACAGAATTATTAATTAATTATGAAGTAGAACCATGCGAAAAAACTGATATACCATTAGTGCTTTTAGTAAAACCTGTATTGTTTACTCCCAAAAATGGAATATCGCTAAGATTTAAGAAAATAATACATTAATATTTTCTATTCAATAAATATTATTTATGTTGAATCATAATGTTTCAATATGAATCTGTATTTTGATATTTAAAATAACTACAATTTTTTAAATAACTATTGATTTCAATTAATTTTTTTATTCAATAATATGGATAAATTTTCATTGTATTATTGTGAAAAAATTTTTTTTTATTAATTATTATAATTTTTTTTTGAAAAAAATAGTGCTTCCAAAAAGTTACGAATTAAAAGTTAAGGTAACCTTTTTTTAGGGTGTGTTTAAAAAATTAAAAATAAATAATAGTAGTATTATTATTATAATCATTCTATTGTTGCGATCTCTTCTTCATTAATTATTACTATTATAGTTTCAACGTACAAAAATTATTAAACCAGAAATTATTGAAAAATAATTAAAAATCACTATTATATATTTTGTAATTTTAGCAAAATCATATATACATTATGAATCGAAATTTCTTAAGCATCAGTGTTTTTAAAAAGAAGTATGAGCAGTTTTAAAATGTAGAAATTTTTTTTTGGAAGTGCCGTTTTTTACACTAAAGTAATTTTGAGATAAATTTCTAAAATAAAATTGTTTTTTTTTTTGAATTTTTGATGACTAGAATTTTAACTAGATTAAAATCATGTTCTTTTGACGTATTAATAATTAAAATCAGTCCTGTGAGAGCTGAGAATTTTTATGGACAGACGTAAAAAATACGCAAACCATCACAAGACTAAGTATCGTACTTTTTTCATGTCTGTTTTCACTATTAAACTAGATGTCAACTTTTTTTTAAAATCAAGTATATTACATAAGCTTTAATTTAAAGTATATATAAAAGTGTCAGTANTATATTTTCTAAATCAACTTTTTTCGATGTTCTAAATATGCAATTAGGCTTTTTCCGAAAAATGTTCAAAAGCTAAGTTTAAAAAGTTTTACTTACTTATGCGTGTTTAAAGTTTTAAACCCCCGCTGTATAAAGGGAAATGATTCGATCAAAAAAAAAAAATAATGTCTAATGAAAGAAATATATATACATTATTTATTATAAAAATTGTATTAATCCATACATTTTTAAAAAGTTATAACAATATAAATTAAAAAATATAAAATCGAGAATTTTTTTACAAAAATAGCTTATTTTTTTTAGTACGGTAGTTTGTTTCACCACGAAGACAAGTTCAGGATCAATTTTTTTTGAAAGAAAAGTATATTATAAAAGTTTTTATTTAAGATATACATAAAGGTGTCAAGATATTCTGGTTATTTTCAAAAGTTAAGTTGAATAAGTTAACTTTTTGTGCAAAAGTTCCCAATTTGAATCTCTATCTGTAGGCAGGTAAAGGTTTAGATTATCAATAAAAATGTACCAAAAAAAATTTTATTGTTTATTCCTTTTGTCAAAAAGTTGTGTAAATTTTAAGTAAAACAATTTTCAAATATATCCCAAAAATACTGATTTAAAACATTTGTTTGGGGATTTCCCCTATTTATGAATAGTAAATAAAATTTATTCAATTTTCAAAAATAATTTTTTTATCTAGATACATATAAAAATAAAAACGATAGCACAATGGGGTCGAGGCACAGTGTGGACGAGGCATAGATGGGACAAGTTTAGATGATATCTGACAGTGATTAAAATCACTATCATAAGAAACGCTTCGATGCAAATCTGTAGATAGTGTTTCCTTTAAGGAAATTAGTGGATTATTCTAAAAGCAACATCAACTCTTATTTCTTTAATTATATCCTGATTAGTAGTTCTTTGATTTTAAAATATAATATATGAATAAATACTAATTATAATTATTAAATTTAGTATACAATTGATATTCAGTAATTTAATATTGTAATTTATACGGAGAAATTATAAAAATAATAAAGAAGTTATATTTTGCTTTACTTTTACGTGTATAAAAATTTAAAGGGCTTGATACAATAATTATCAATAAAAACTGTTTGTTACTATAAATGAATGCACTGGACTTCAAGGAACTTTCATCAGAAGCAAAAATATACTTTTCTAAATCAAATTTTCGCGTTGTTTTCAAATCTGCAATTAGACTTTATCTATCAGTTCTAATTTTTTATATTATTACTAATTACATATATAAAATAATTAAAAGAAAAAAAAATTGTTTTCAAATTATTACTGATTTGATTTTTAATATGTTAAAAATAATCAGTCCAAATTTTCATTTTTAACCTATGTTTTTGGTTCTTTAAAGTTCATGAAAAATTTTTGATAAAGATTTGTGAAAGCTTATAGTAAAAAAAATTGAATATGTTACAATCACATTTAGCTCAATTACAAGTTTGAAATTGACATCATTAAATAGAAAATTTTATGAGAATTAAAACTATGCTATTTTGAAGACTAATATGCAGTCAGGAAATTTTATAATTACTATTTACAGTATATTTATCAGAAAAACTCATTATTTTTTTGTATTT